GAGAGCTTCCTCTTGGTTTGGATCAAGTTGTAAGGCGTCCTTCAAGTCGTAATAACATAGTGTAGTCTGCAAAGACATATGATAGAAAGTAGTACATCAAATATATCTATGATTTGGGATTATGACAGGCTGTATTCCTATTTTGATTTTAATGCCCTATACCATGTCAACCAGACCAAGTCAAACACAACTACGTATAAAAATCTTAGCCATGGAAGTTGCCTTTTGTGACTATTAAAAAAATAAATTTTGATCAATCCCAATGGGAATTCAAGTCCAGTTAGTAAAAAATCAACAAATTAAAAAATACATAAAATTGTGTGAAATGCTGCACAAACATTTGGCAGAAAAAAATATGACAAATAAAAGGTTAATAAAATAATTGGATTATTAATATTACAATTATTAAAGGTATATTCATGTGTCCAGGAATCCTAATTTGAGGAGCTGAGGTAACAGCTACTACTTTAAAGTCAATTTTTCCACATTTTTTGTTTGAACATTTTGTTCAAGATTATGTCTATTTGGTCCAAAATTAACACACAAATTATTAATAAATACACAAAATAAATGTTGGCACTATAAATAGTTACACTCCTCAATTATCAACAGAGGGATGGTTTACCTATTTAGACGTATTACCACAAAATCTACACCTGGATGGAATGATGTTTCTTACATTTCTGAAAAGTTCATGCAATCTGGCTCTCATAATATATAGATCTGGATTTTCTCGTTCCACTTCTAATCTTTTATTTACTAAGGCCAGGCACTCTCCGTGTCTTTGTAACGCTGCCAAACAAGCAACACTGAAAAGCAGAAAGTATTAGTTATGAGGGCGCCCTTACTGTGAGGGCGCTCTACTACTCAATTATATATACATGTACAACCATAGAACCACATATATCACCCACTAATGTACAACATTTTAGTTGAAAATAGTGTTCTCCAGGAAAGCCTGTTTGTATTTTCAACACGAGCAGATAAAAACAGATGGCATCAGTGTAACAAAATACATGTACACTTAAAATGGACCATACGGTTGTCACTGCTTAGTGTTAAAACTTAAAGCCACTTACGTGGCTGACCAATAAATGAATAGTCAGCTGGATCAATCTTTTAAGCGTACTAGGATAGGTCAATACGTTACCCATAACAAATAATTACGACATAACATAACATAAAATGGCATAAATTCACAAAAAAAAAAAAAATCGCTGAACAGAAAATGTACAACACCACATGTTGACAGTTATAGACCTTTGACTTTAACACAACGGGTAAAGAGAATAAACCTATAACACGTGCCAGAATGACGTACGCAAAGTACTTTTCTACAGAAAAAGGAATTAACGAATGGAACAATGTGTTTATGCTAAGCATGTGCAAACAGCACCTAGATAGCAGGTTATACACATGCAAACAGCACCTAGACAGCTATTATATAAGTACCAGTACATACAAAAGTATAATAATAATAACACACAACAAAATAAAAAGCTTGATGAACAAAAACTGAATACGATGAAACAATCTAAGGTACTTAAAAGAGGTGTCTCATGTCACTGTTGCTCATCAGGTATTCAAATTTATTATTTTGAATTAAATTGAACTTATCTAATCACCTTCTTGTGTGATAACCCACAATCTCCGGTTTCATTTCAGCAGCTCTTGAAAACGATTCCAACGCATCAGAAAATTTATGTTGATCGAAGAGAGTCTGACCATGAAAGAAATATATGAAAGCCAATTTGCTGTAGTGATCATCATTTTCCGGGTCCAATACGCATGCTTTCTTATAGTTCAAAATGGCCGACTGGAAGTCGCAAACCTGAAGATAAGATTCACCGCGGTTGATGTAGTATTCTACCTTCCGGGATTGCAGGTTAATGGCTTTGTCAAAAGACAGAATGGCTTTGTAGTGTTTGCCCCTTTCTTGTAATTGAAGTGCCTTTTCATAACTGCAAATTATGAAATTATATTAATGTTAAGTCAGGCATTTTTAAACTAAACATGAGCATGATGAGTGTACGTTTAAAAATATTGTGTATCAAGGAACAGTATATTGTAGTTAAAGTACAGCTTTGCAATCCCAGGGAATATTGCACTGATGCACCATGGGTAATGTGGTTTTAATGACCCTATTGACATTTACTAGATCTGACTTAAAGCGGGGTGACGCAAGTGATGACCCTCACGCTTTAAATGAAATATTGTCACTTAAAGTTTGGAGAAACATTGTGACTTGAATAAACCTGTGATTGACAGTCATTTTGGTGTCAGATTAAAACATCCCTTTTTTCTCAGCTTTTAGACGTTAATTATGCTCAAATCTTGTTCAATTAGTAAACGAACATTGAAACTGTATTCTGTGAAAATTTCTGATTGTATTCAACAATCAATGTTAAAGCTTCAGGGATCAGTTAAGCAAGCGGACTAGGATAGAACACTGGTTTAGAGAAACAGGACCAATGAAACAACTTCTAGTCCAGTCTTTTATTGGGGGGGGGGGGTAGTTGAGAGGAATTCAGGGTAGTTCAAATTTTTGTGATGTGTTTAGGTGAATAAAAGTCACTGTGATATGACACGTATGTAATGTAATCCACTACTTATATACGCTTACAAAAATGTATATACGTTAACAGTATCCTGATCCATTCTTTGAGCAGATGTGTTGAAGTTTTGAGAAGACTTCACAAAAATTTGATGGATCACTTATGTATAACTCCAGACAAGAATTAAACCGACAATCAATTCGATCTATGAAAGTTATCAATTAGTCGAACTGTCGTCGATGAGAGTATGATGATGATAGTTTTTTCCATATCATTAATTGGAGATGAGACACTCTAGATATATTACATAAATTATATTCTCAAAGCTAAATATCTTAGATATCACACTGAATACAACATACTGTTCTGCGGCTCTGTTCTCAATGACTTGTTGCATAGATTCAGCTGGCACCAGCTCTCGTCCCCACAAGTCCACTGCCATAGCTTCTGTGCCCACTGTAGATATATTCCTCTGTTTGGCTTCTTCAATCTTCTCCTCACTCACAGCTGTTTGGAAGAGCCCAGTTGATGGCACTTCCGGTTTCTACAAATGTAACAAAAAAAATAAATTATTTCTGTCATTTACAACAAAGTTTTTGTTTGAAACTGTACCAGAACATGTTCATTACAAAATAGATGCAGTGGAAATCAAACAAACAGTTCAGGCATTATGTTTTGCAATTGTTCGTGATGGATTCCTGGGAGAAATAAGACCTGTATGTTCAAACGGCTTGAATTGGTTCTCTTGAAAAAGGACAGATATTTCCTTCAATATTTTAATAAGAACAAGGTATTTTTAGAAGTTTTTGAATTTGAAATTGTACGCATTCAGAATGCCAAGGTTCAAGCCACGGAGTTCTTTAATTAACAGTGGGAAAACATGTGTACCGGTAATTATGTGAATGTCGTAATATTGCATGATAATGATTTATTAAGTTTAAGTGTATTCTAAAAACGAATCACTCAGCAGTAAGTATACAATGAGAGTCAAGTTCATAACCACCCCCAACTATCAGTCATATATAGCAACGAGAGAACCAGAAAATCCTCTAAATAGATGCTGAATGGATAGACAGATATACTGACAGTGATAAACTATGGAAAAACTTTGTGTTCTGCTAAAATAGTTTCATCTAAATTGACAAACATTAAAGATGCAATATACCCAGATAGTTGAGAATGTGTAATTTGTTATATTACTGTTTGATACTCCATACTGATGAGTAAATTGCATTATAATTTATCACAAACTAAAACTGTTGGTCTTGTAGCGTGCAACTGAGTATTCGTTCAACAATATAATAAAAATGCATGTGTGCTGACTGTTTTAGTGAATAGAATAACAATCGATGTACTTGCAATTTTTTTTTTGAACGAATACTACATTGTGTGTTCATCCATTTTTAGTTTACGATCATAATTCAATCTGGTCATCCACATGAAGTACCAAACAGAAAATTATATTAATCTAAGTTTTCATCCATATTCCATCTTTAAATATCCAAGCATGGGGAAACAATAAAGTTTTGAAGGTTCTTACTATTTCATCCACTTGTGCTTCATTATTGGTATCCCCCTCAGCGTCTTGTTCCTTCTTATCGTCATTTGTATCAAGCTCAGCATCTCGTTCCTTTTTATCAGCTTCTAAGACGTATTTCTCGTAACCTACAGATTGTTTGTCTTCATCTTCTTCCTCAACAATGTCTCGTTTCTCATGACTATCCTCCGCAAATGTCACACTTTTGGCACTCATGGGTATGTCCCTCCTTTTTTTATTAACTACTAGATTGTTCCCTACATCGGAAGAATTTTGCGAACTTTGATCCTGTTCCAGCGTAGGCTGATTTGGCACTTCTGAGAACCCAGGCTGACCAGACTCATCTGTAACGTCACTCGTCTTGTCATTATGATCCCCATCATCAGCACCTGAGTTTTTGGCATGTACATCAACTTTTTGCTTTTCCTATCTCTGCAATAACAACATCCTGTGACACTACTTCTTCCTGATCATTTATAGTCCTTTCATCAGCTGTATCTTTATCACTCTGATCACCGGACTGCTGAGAATTTACATCATCCATTGTTGCTATGGTTGCAGTGGTTTCACGCCCATCCTCTGTAGCTCCATCTTTCTGCTGTTTGATATCTAATTTATTAACAGTCTGCACTTCCTGTATGCCACAATCTGGAGTGCTAAGTGTTACATCTTTGGCAGGTTGTAAATCAGACTTTTCATTCTCTGAATCGCTGAATTTATCAGCAGCTTTTTTTTCACCTATTGCAGGTTTCTCTTCTACAATTTTGTTTTGTGCAGCTGTAGCATTTTTTGTGTCTTCCCCAGATTTATTTTCTTCCTCATTCTTCGTCACATCATTCGATAAGTCTCCCTCCCTTTGCTCCGCCATTGTCAATATCACACTGATGTCACCTGTCAACAAAATAAAAACACCTTTATTAGATATATGTTATGGCATTTGTGAGTTGTTCTAATCAAAACCTGATATATAGCAGGATTCTGTATTGAAAACTGCTTTAATTTCAAATTAATTCAAAATCCAGAAAATTTCTCTTACATGTAAATGTACAACACAAATTGTCAAATTAATTAATTTATTTATTTATTTATTTATTTAAACCCTTTTGAAACAGGTGTCTCACTATTTCAATAAATAAATAACAGCTGCCTAAGTTACAAATCAAATGCGGCATCTCATAAACTACTTGTTGCCATTTTAGTTGCTTCGCAAGAATGGTTACTACCGGTAATTGGAATTTTTATTTTTACATTTAAAGGTAAGAAATGGGTCGTTGAAATGTACGATGCGCCTGGCCGATTTATTTGAATTTGCAGCCATCAAGTGACTGTGTTTTGAAGACACTAACGTTTTACACTCATTACTTCAGATCCACGTAGAAAAGAGGGTTTCATTTTATAATCCTTCACACACAATACAGTTGCTAATATTCATTACACGGATATGTTTCAATGGTTCACTTTTCACCACCGATCGACCGGTTGGAGCTCGAGCTAATTGAAAATCATCATGATTCGATCAGCTGGCCAGTCTGCTAGACAATTTCTAGATATCCACACTTGTTTTTTTTTTGAAAAACAACTTACATTTACGCCATGAATGCATAATAACTATTACAACTTACCCGAACAGCGGACAAATATTGACCTCGACAAGCGCCATGTTGATTATTTTCATTTCCATGGAGAACCGACGCAATGCGCATGCTGAGAGTACTGCCCTCACGCAAGATTTGGAAGAAACTGTTTTGTTGCCCTAAGACTGTAAGTTTGTGCAAACCACTTGTCAGATCGTGTCGACTATATGGATATTTGAAGTGTGTCAACCATTCAAATACTCACTAAATTTATTATTTAAAATCATGTTGGCCCTGAAAGATGATTTGCAAGATTGATAATTGAAATTAGACATACTAGAGTGATATTTATATAATTGTAAAACTTCAAAGTAACTAACTTAGGGAGTACTCTGAATACCGACCTCCGATGGAAATGGCGAACTGTTTACATCAAAGCCTTTCTGCAAAGACTGATTTCACAAATGGAATTAATTAGATATCTGAATAGCGTTATTATTGATTCCAAGTGGTGTCGTTTAGTAATAGGAAATTGTTGAACGGCGCAGTAGCGACACAGTCATGAATCGTCGGGAACTGGAAAAGTATGAACAAATTCGCAATATCGCTAGCAGGGTAAGAATTATTAATTTCCTTAACGTTTCTTGCATTTCAATAAATCGTCGGTAACTGTGAAATAATGTTACTGACATGTATTTTTTATGGTTTTTGTTTCACATTGAGATGCAATTGCAGCATGTCTAATTTTTAAAGACATATGATACATGCAGTGAACCTGTTATTAAAACGAATTGATAAAATCGCTTAGTTACGACCCTTGTGTCGACAGTTTCGATCCTAATGGAAACTAGGCTTAATAATATTGTTTTGCGCCGTAGATTCTCAGCTGTCACTGGTCTCTTAGCTGATGTTTATATTTATACTTGTTTAATAATTTTGTTTCTGTTGTGATGTGCAACTGTAACATACACAATCATATGTATGTAATGTATGAATATGAATGTATGAACGGTGAATAACAGAAAAATGTAAATGCCCATCCTTAGTTTTCATTCATATTCAAATATAGTATTGTGATCTAATCAAATACGTTCCACACATACTCGAGCAAACCCACAGAATTCATGTGCATGCTTTCAGTGAAGAAATGCTTTTTTATATTTGGGACAATTTCTTCTTTTAGTCATGTACTGTGTTGTAAATTTACTAATTGTCTGACATCAGCAACTGACAATTTATAAATACATTTTTCATAATTTATGTTTATGTTCAGGGAAATGGCATTTCTGAGGGTCTTGATTTTAAAATTTGAGCAGATCTCGCAACCCCCCCCCCATGCAAAATTTTGTGCCACCTCTGATGTTTTATGTAAAAATTGGTTAAAATATGACACGGCACAAAATGTTGTTTCTCTGCAAATATAATTTCACCTTTGGTCATTTTGAAATAAAATTACAGAATGATACAACAGTGCACATTTTTGTTAGAACATTCAGTTATTGATTATCACCATCAAAATGCAGGGTACTTTTAAGTAAGTTTTTTTTTTACATTTTGTGATAATTTTGATTTTTTTTCACAAATGTATAGATTTCTATCGGCATAATTGTGTATAGAACAAGAAATCAACACAACTATATTGACAAGTGTGACCTGAATTTTTAGCATATGTTGAAACAGATACGATGAGTATGCACCAATGACATCAGTCAATCGGTGTGTAGTGCCCCCATTCTGAATGAGTACACTTTGTATGTATAGAATCAAGTCTTTCATGGCAGCCTAATAATAACTTTGATTTTGTACAAATGTTTTTCCAAGTCACTAGCGCCTTCACTGATTACATAGTTACTCTACCATAAATATTATCATAGCTTTGTAGCACTGGAGCATGCATGCATTTCAAATTATTTATGGGAGAAAAAGTTTAGTGCGACATTTTTCACACTGTTATGCATTTTACTGATTGTGAACTAAATGGACAATTTTTAATTTACAATTAGCTACGGGCTCAAACTAGGTTTTTTAAAAGAAAATATGGAAAAATTTCAAAGGTTGATTTAAAATACTGACTGACCAGTGACACCATATTTTGTTTTTCAATTCTTGCCACAGGTCTGAATTGACATATAGCCTAGGGCATTCTTCAAACTATCTCAATTCTTTGTTTTCTACATAAACTATTCTGTCTTCAAAGCTATATGTGTCTTAAACTATTTGAGCAATTGTATATTGATTCAAGTTAATTTTGGTTTCAGCCAGCCAAGCCTCAAACTTTTCACCACCTGACTTGCTCACCGCTAATTTTGTCTGCACATATTCCTTATATTTTTCAATATTTCTTGAAATAAACCTTAATTTTGGAGCCAACAGACAAAATTTGAGGCAATTTTCAGTTTTTACTCAAAAAATTTGTTTTTTTTGTCCCAATCTTGGGAAGAAAAGTGCAGACTATAAACAAGACTATTTTGTGAATTTGTGATAAAAAAAGGGAACTGGTGGTAAAATTGTTAAGAAATTTGTATCTTTTTTAGCCCTGACTGAAGAATTGCACATCTGCAATGGAAATATACATGAACAAGAATTGCCTTTTTTCTGTTCTGAATCTTCAAAATATCACTTATTATGACCATAGACACAATTTTGCTATTTGCTTAAAACTGGATCTTCTCAATCTCTGAGAATGCACCATGGAATTATGGGATACCAGTGTTCTTATTATTTTAACACCTAATCTGTCTATTGTTTCCAATTAAATCCAGTAAGAAAAAAAAAAACTGAAAATTAATCCAATAAAGCATCTTTATTTTTTAAGCTCATAAGTTACTTATACAGGTAGAGTAGTCACAGTACTGGTATATATTTTTATAGAAAATTACATTTGAAGATGTGAACGAGAACATGGACATGGAATTTTTAATATTGTTTGATACTGTATATTGATATTAACATTGGACTATGATCGTGAACTGAAAACATTTTGTAGCATACCTACAAGTATTTGTTTAATGTCACAATGCAATTCTCTAATATGCATGTGCACTGAATGTTTTGGTATGTACAATAACAATCACTGCACATAGAAATACTGTTGTGTGTTCTGCAAACATTTTCAGTTTTTGATAAATTGTAATCCGATTTGATCAGCATGGAGTATCGAGCAACAATAATAAAAAACAAAGATGTTTTTCCATTATATTGCATCTTTAATATTCAATTTGGTCAGGCAATACCTTCTCTAAGTTTCACTTGCAGATGATTATTGTTTTTGGCTTCCTACTTGATTCTTTCAGTGACATTTGCAATAGTTCACTGTGTATGCTTTTAGATTGTATAGTCAAGTGCATGTACTCATAAATATATTTATCAGTTTGTGAATGTCTGTTTGTTCACATACTGTGGAATACTTTATTTTCACTGGAATTAATTTTCGCTGAAAGGGCTTTTTGGGCGTTTTATATGGAATTTATTTTCACTGATTTTTGATGAGTTTAATGTGAAATATAGGAAAAAAAGTATATTCGCTGGATTTTATTTTCACGGAATCTTCACTTCAGCGAAAATAGCGAAAATAAATTCCAAGTGAAAATAAAGTATTCTACAGTACCTAGTATCCAGTGTCTGTTTGTTCACATGTGTGTGTATGTACTTCCTGGTGATTGTATAATGTATAGGTAAAGCATACTGCAGTCTTTGTTATAAGTTTTCTTAAAATCAATTTTTCAAATATAATTTAGTATTGTATTTTGAACAGAATAATGTACTCATTGATGACATATTGCCAACACATGTTATTTTTACCTTGTTCGTATCATCACAGATGAAGGTCAAGTCATACGAGGAAAAAATGTCTGTCCTCATTGTTGTCGTTGTTGTCATTGACTCTGTTGTAACACATTTTTTGTGGTTGCAATACTCAAATAATATCTGATTATGTTCAAATTCAGAAATCTTATCAATCACTATGAAATGTCAACCAAAGTTCGATTTGGGTGTAACTAACATCTAAGTGCAATGATATGAGGTAACATTTGGCTAAAATAAAGAATTTTTTAGACTTAGAAATAAGTTGTTGATAATTATTAATATTAATATGTCCTCCAAGATCTGTCAATTAGAAGTGTAGTAAACTGTTTAGAGGAATAAATTATTTATTGGACATTAAAGAAAGCGCAAAA